CAAATTAGGAGAAAGCTGACAATATTGCGGATCCAAAGTACTGTGTGTACCACAGGAGGGTCCTTCATCCCACCAAGGATTGCTTTGCTCTCAAGAATAGCATCCAAACCTTGGTTGAAGCCGGCGTCATAATGTAGGCATATAAAATTGCATATAGGTCCCTTAGCACAGTTCGGCATAAACCGACGAACCAACGAGGCGACGAGTTCGACGAATCGTACGCAAGCGACGGAATGCATCCATACGCGTTCGGAATCAAGCCAAGTGTCAAAGAATCAACGAGTCATCCAACCAAGGGCATACTCGGACGAATCACGATCGAATCAAGATCGGTTTCGGACTCGAACTCAGAAGTGGATTTACTGCCTAATCAGGATCCAGATTTACTGCCAAATCAGGTCAACGAGTCAATCAACCGCACAACCGAACCACGGACAAGACCGAAAGACGGAAAACAACCAAACCCACCACCTAGAGGGGCTCGGCCGAAGCCGAGCCAGCCTGTCCAGTACAGTTCCAACGGCTCTTTTTATGACCGTTGCCTTGGGGCTGTTTTGTCTTTTGCTCTGGTTTTTTGGCTGAGTTGTGAGAGGGTATAAATACCCCATTGTCTTCAACTCTCAAGCTATCTAAGAGATTGTTTTTAAAATAGTTTAACAAGGGTTTAAACTTGTTTAATGTTTGTTTAAGTTTGGTTTAAAAAGCTTTTAAGCAATTGAGGGTTTTAGTTTGTGAAGCAAATTTCACAAGAGCAAAGAGGAGATCATCCTTTGGTGTTTGGGCATTCAACTCATCTCTCTCTCACTCTTGATCTATAGAGAAGTTTTCCTTAAACTCAATTCTAGCTATTTATTGTTTTGATCTTAATTTCCATAAGCTAGATTTCTATATTGAGTTTAAATTGTTTTATTGATACTCTCTGTTCACACACAACCTATTGAGCTTATTGTATTTACATTCATAGTATAATTTAGGGTTGTGGGTTTGTGACATTGAGAGTGAGCTTAATTGAGTTCTCACCTTGTTTAGAGAACAAATCATTTGATTTATATTGTGCTTATTGTGAGGATTCACTTGTAATACACTTGTACACCGAGAGAAGTGTGTGGTGAGAGACGGGGTCGAATCCAAGAGGAGTGGCGTCGGTTGACGTGCCTAGGGAGAGGTTGTAACCGAGCACTTGAGGAGGAGGACACGGGCTAGGACCAACACTTAGTGTGTGAGGTGTGATTACATAGTGATTGTATTGTGAGGTGTAAACGTTGTTCGGGTGAACGTAGAAAACCCGGTTGTGATAGTGAAGATCTCCTCGAGGTGAGGAGCGGAGACGTAGGTCGTGGGGACCGAACTCCGTAATCATATTGTTTGTTTGTGATTGCATTGGCGCACTTTCTTTTATGTTCATATCTTATATCGCCTTTGTATATTGCTTGTTGATTATATTGCCCACTATCTAGTTTAGATTGTTTTCCCTTGAGTTTATATATCCTTGCATATACTTCATCATATATCTCTTTGCTAGGATATATCTCATTGTTCATATTGCTTATCCTAGTTTATATTCTTGTTGTATTTCATACTTGCTAGGATAACGTGTTAATTAATTTTAATTGGCATTTAATCGGATTAGATTAGCATAAGACCCTAATCACCCCCCCTCTAGGGTCTAACAGACATTCGATGATCATTTTTATTCCACTTGGATTTCTCAGAAGTGGGTACAATATAAGCATCACCTACAATTTCCCATAAATCAGAATGTTTAGATCTAATAAATAACTTAAATCTAACACACCATTGGGCATAGGGAAAATTGTCTAATCTAGGAGCAATATTGATGGTATAACCTAAACAAGATGCACCATTCATATCCATAATTTATAAAAATATGCAAGCAAGATACAAATGCAATCAAAACAAGATTAGCACAAAAAGATAACTTGGATTTTTAACTCAAGGCGATTAGTCCTTAAATCAAAGAGCACCAAGCTCTGATACCAATTATTAGACCCTAGAGGGGGGGGGTGATTAGGGTCTTATGCTAATCTAATCCGATTTTATGCCAATTAAAACTAATTAACAAGTTATCCTAGCAAGTATGAAATACAACAAGATATGTGAGCTAGGATAAGCAATATGAACAATAAGATATATCCTATATGATAAAAATATATGCAAGGATATAAAAACTATCACATGGGTGATATAATCAAACTACAAATGTGATAGGGTCTCCTTTCGATTCATTTTTGCGAACGAAAGGTCCACTTTTGAATTGAGTAATCAAACCTTATGACAGTTAGGATTATTCAAACCAATCTAGATTCTCTAAGTGGAGATTCCACTTTAAGTTTCCTTTTCACCAGGAGATAGAATATAAAATTCTTCCTCTCCGATTCTGGGTTTATCTCTACCAACAAACAAGAGACCAGGAGATAGAATATAAAATTCTTCCTCTCCGATTCTGGGTTTATCTCTACCAACAAACAAGAGACCAGGAGATAGAATATAAAATTCTTCCTCTCCGATTCTGGGTTTATCTCTACCAACAAACAAGAGACCAGGAGATAGAATATAAAATTCTTCCTCTCCGATTCTGGGTTTATCTCTACCAACAAACAAGAGACCAGGAGATAGAATATAAAATTCTTCCTCTCCGATTCTGGGTTTATCTCTACCAACAAACAAGAGACCAGGAGATAGAATATAAAATTCTTCCTCTCCGAGTATGGGTTTATCTCTACCAACAAACAAGAGATTGAGAAATGGAATATACAATTCTTTTTCTCTCCGATTTTGGGTTCGTTGTCCTATATAGGAAATGCAACCTATTCACACTTTGAAATCCATGTTGTTCACACATGGGGGATGTTATCTCTATCCCTTATTAGAGATAAGCCTACATCTAACACATGTAGCCTACATATTCAATATGATAGTTTAAAGTCTAAAAGAGTTTAATTCTTTTAGCGCAACGTTATATGTGAAACGGACTTAGATAATTCACATACTAGCCCGATTCAAACGGTAATCGGTAAAGGCATATCAAATCCGTTGATGGCTGAGGATTTGCCAAAAATCCTATAAGTATGATGGTTATTTATTCTAAACAAGAATGAATAATCATAATAAAACCTCAATGAGCAAAAAAAAGATTCAATATAATGAGCAGAAAAGTTCAAGAATTTTTAAACAAAGCTACAAAAATATATGTTCTCCGATTACAAGAGTTTATATTGACTAATTTGATTTTCAAGTTTTGACAGCTCTAACGCATAAGTCTGTTCAAGCTCAGCCGTCAATTTAATTTTGAAAGCTTCTTCATCAACACTTTGAAGCGCGGCGACCTCTTGTTCCTTTTCAGCAATCATTTGGTCTTGAAGGTTCAGTTGCTGTAATAAGTTGCCTTCAGTGTGAATTTCCCGCTTCAACTCGGACTCCAAGACATCATGAGCATCCTTGGCCATTGCAAGTTCCTCCTCTAAGCGAGCTATTTCTGCTCGACTCGATTCTAAATCCCGACGTAGGTTAACCTGGGCTTGTATTCTCTTGCCAACATTCATCCTAAGTTGATCGCTGTGGGCTCTTAGCTGTTGGAGCTCGAGATTAGCTGATGTTTGGGAATCACGCAACGCTTGTAGCTTGGAGTCCATGCGAGAAGCAATGTAGGAAGGTACGCTTTCAGTGCGAAGACCCCTCAGAAGGTCAACATGCTGCTTCAAGTCAACCATATAGGCGTTGATCGAATCGGCTAAATCATTATACCCTTCATCTCGGATCCCTGAAATATAGCGTTCAAGAGGTTTCTTAAAACTCTCAAATCGCGATCCTTTGGAGAGAATACGATCAACCATAGAATTCAAAAAGGAGATGAAGCCGTCGAGATCAGAGCAAATGCCGGCTTTATCCGGATCCTCGTCTGCTAACAAAGCTCGGATGCGATCTGATAATGATGATGAAGAAGCTGCGATGAGTGTAAATAAGTCAGTATAAGACATATATATGCATACAAGACAATAAACTGAAGCATACCAAGTTCAACGGAAGAACCTCCAGCATGACTTGGTTCGCTCAAGGATGGCAGTCCGGATTCCTGAACAACTAAAGTTGGTTCAAGAATGGTAGTTGTTGATACACCCGCTACATCAGAGGCCTTTTCTACTAAAGCCTCAGAAGACGGTGGGTCCAAGCTAAGAGGCTCTTTAAGAGTTGATTCTACAAACGAAGGA